ACAAGCACAACCACATACTGTGTAGAAATATAGTCTTCAAGATTTATAACATATAAAAAGAAGAAAATTTAAGCATGCCCTATTATTGTTTTTAATAAAAGAAAGTTATTACTTTTCACATTGACCAACAGAATAATTACACATGTAAATCCCCCATTTGGAACCCCAAATTGTCTTCAAAGAAATTTCATGTAATTTTTATGTCTAACAAGTCATTACATTTTATTACCAAAGCAGTAATAGCAGCTTATTAAATTTTTAAAATACCCTACTGACCACTGAAGGTCTTTCCCCTTCCTCAAGTAGTTCTTAAATGAAAACAGCCATTGTCCATCCTGATTATTAGGTATTAGTCACGGGTCATAAATGTCCCCTCTTTCTTACAGTCAGACTTTAGGGGATTAAAATAGGACAAAATGAATAAACTGTCCTCTGAACCAGTTAAAAGCATCTGGTTTAGCCTTATAAATATTCTGGAAATGTAGTCAAAATCAGTATTATTTGCATTTTTTTGCAAACCAAGAAATCAATCATGATTAATTCTTGTCTTGTATTGCCCAAACACTGCACCACTAATACAGAATGAGCAAAAATTCCTTCTGCTGAGGTCTCCTCCTCTCAGTCTGAGTCACACTTAAAATATTGATGGTTATTCTTATTATAGTAAAACTGCTCTCACATCCATTTTCCCTGGAGTACAATCTCAATTTTCAAGAATTCCTCCTTAGTAATTCTGAGAGTTTGTGATGCAAATTATCTTAGGAGCTCTTGCAGCTGGAGAACTAAAGACTGTGAGAATGAGAGCTCAAATTGGTTGCAGGGATCAATAATAATTTCAAGTGAAGTTGGTCTAAGAGAAATCATGAAAAATAGATATGTATCTCCTTTGGCTTACTAGTAAGACATAAATAGTGTGTGTGTTGGGCGTGGGGGTGGTGTCTGAAAACTCCTATTAGGTCTGGCAAACCTAATAGGAGTAGCAATTACACCCTCCTCCATTCCAAAGTCTCGTGATCTGGTTAATTTAACCTTTAACAGCTTTAACGTCATTTCTTGTAGACATACTGACAACCATTAGAGTAATAAATAAGTTGGAGAATGCCTTATTCCTGCTCATCAAAATTCTTACCTGGAATGTATAACGGAAGTAACTTGCTGCCAGCTACTGTCCAGTGCTATTCTTGCCAACCAATGAAACTGTTAACAACCAGTTTGCTGTAACTTCTTTCTTCTTTTTAATCTATAAAATCAGAATCCCTGGACACCATTTTGGGAGCACTTATCCTGAGCAACTAGATTTTTTTTTCCTTAGGCAGCCATCCTCATTTTGGCTCAGGTAAACTCTGTTCTCACACTTATTATAACTCAATTCGCCTTTTAAGTTGACACAAAGGTCTTTGGAACCTGGTGGAGATTTACATTCTTGTCTGTTTTCTACCCTGATCTCATAGTCTGAATGTTCGTGTACCTCCAAGATTCATATTTTGCATAGTAAACCCTAATTTGATGATATTATAAACATGCAGTCTTTGGGAGATAATTAGACAGTGAGAATAGGGCCAATCTGGTGGGATTAGTATCCTATAAAAACAGGAGGTGACATGAGCTCTACCATGCGGATATTCAGAAGGGAGACCATCTGGAAATCAGGAATTGGGATCTCACAAGGCACGGAATCTGCTAGCAACTTGATCTTGGGTTTCCCAGCCTCAAAAACTATGAGAAAAAAATGTATGCTGTTTAAACCAACCAGTCTATGATATTTTGTTATAGCAGCCCAAACTGACCAAGATACCTAAATAGGCCTCTCTGAACATTGAAACCACTCTGACCTAAAGATGGTAAAAGTGTTTTCTTCCTTTTCTCAAATTTTACAGCAATTTATTCATCCATTTTCTATCACATTATTCTTCATTTCATAGTATATGCATATTTCTTTCCTACTAAGTAACTTCAGGCTATCTATCTTCCTTAAAACTTCCTAAAGCCTTAAGCAAGATTGGTGAGGATAACTCAAATTTATTTCACTTGGTGTTAGCTAGAGTAGCTCAAAAAAGGAAAGCTAGGATCATCTACAGACTTGTTCATATGTCTGGTGGTTAACACTATCAGTGGGGCTACTGGCCAGAAAACCTATCTGTGGCTTCTAAGTAGCCTAGACTTCTTCCAAACTAAGTTCCAAAGGTGAGGAAACAGAGACAGAGAACAGAGCAGAAGCTGTATTGCTTTTTATGACCTGGCCTCTTAAATCATTAATTCTAACACATTCTAGAATTTTTGCAGTACTTTTTATTTTGTATTTCTCCTTTTTAAGATATGAGGTCTTGCTATATAACCCAGGCTGGCCCTGAACTACCAAGCTCAAGAAATCCCCTTCTCAGCCTCCTAGGAATTGGGACCACAGGCACTGCACCAGGCTTCTAATACATTCTGTTGTTTAGAAGCACATCAGTAAGACACAAAAGTAGGTGTGAACAACAGGAAAATCAAACCATGTTCTTGCATAGGAAGACACATCACACAGATGTTAGGTACTTCTCTTTGAATTAGTTAATAAATTTTTAGCACATACTAGTATGTGCTAAATTTTTAGCACATACTAATGGCAGAAAAATATCATAAAGTAATTTACTGGAGCTATAAGAATTACTTAAAGTTTACCAGGCAGAAGTAAAACAAGTAAATATAACCAGGAAAATCCTAAGAGAGCAATAAGGAAGAGTTATCCCTGCCAGGCATCAAAACACTTCATTAATCTTTGATAATTAAAGCAGTTTTGTACAGGTGCAGAATTAATGACAGGCAAATGGAAAAGAACATATAGAAATGTAATGGCAATGTTTCAATCAATAGGGAAAAGATAGATATTCTAGTAAATGTTGTTGGAATACTGGACAGCCACATGGAAATAATTGAAATTGAATCAATTTCTGCCATCAGTATTAAAAAATACTATGTCTTGTACATAATAAGAGAAAGGCAAATCAAAAACTAAATTGAGGGCTGGGGATGTGGCTCAAGCGGTAGCGCGCTTGCCTGGCGTGCATGTGGCCCAGGTTCGATCCTCAGCACCACATACAAACAAAGATGTTGTATCCACCGAAAACTGAGAAATAAATATTGAAATTCTCTCTCTCTCTCTCTCTCTCTCTCTCTCTCTTTAAAAAACTAAAAAAAAAAAAAAAAAAAAACTAAATTGATGTCTGGGTGTAGCTCAGAGCTCTTGCCTAACAATTCCTAACATCACATATACACACAACCCTATGTTTACATGCAATTCTCAATTATGAGACTGGCAAATATCCAAGTTTGACAACTTTCTACACTGGCACTCTCACGCCTCTCATACATTACTAACATACACACTGTTTGCCTGTGGAAGGGAATCTGGCAACATCTGGCAAACTTGCATGCACTTACCTTTTGATCTAGGAATCACAGTTCTAATAATCTCCCAAAGCTAAACTTGCAAAAATACAAAAAGTGCAAAGTTACTCATTGCAACACCATTTGCAATAGAAAAAGATTAGGAACAATCCACTTAAACTGGCATATTTGCACAGTGGAATACCATGATAGAGAAATGAGAGATATCCCTGTAAACTACTATGAAATTATCACCAAGATAGATTTAACTGAAAATAAAAGAACTATGAATAAAATGCTATCCACCATTCTGTTTATCAAATAGGGATTTCAAAATATATGCTTAAATTTAAAATAAAATTTTTTAAAATTTATTTTTTAGTTATAGATGGACGCAGTATCTTTATTTCATTTTCATGTGGAGCTGAGGATCAAACCCAGTGCCTAATGCATGCTAGGCAAGCGCCCTACCCCTGAGCCACAACCCTGGCCCCATAAATTTTAAAATAATCTAGAAACAGGCTTCCTTTGTGAGAGGAAGAAAATAAGATGGAGAAGATGAAATATGTTATATTTCTTTGAATATGTTTATTTTTCTGTAATTTGACTTTGAAATCATGTAAATATTTCTCACAAAAATTGAAATTAAAAATCCCTAACAATGAAAATGAAACATGTGATCCCTTGCATCCAAATTACTTTATAACACAGCAATTTAATTCGACATCCTTAGTGAGATATGCTTAAATGACAAAAAGAATTGGCATGGAGGGAGAGAATAATAATCGTATTATTAATACTATAGAAATTGTTATTCTGAAACCATTGTGTGAATCTTAAATAAGACGAATGAGTAATTTTAGTGTCACTGAAAAGATTTTCAGTGTATATGAAATAAAATACAGATTTAAGATCACTAAAAAAATGTAGTTCTGAATTGAAGTACTTTTCATGTGTGTGATATGTATTTTAGTCAAAAGACAGACAAGATTCCTTGCAAAACTGTGATTCTGATATGAATTTCCTATATACATGTATAAATACACCAGACTGATTATCACCATTATGTACATCCACAAGAAATTAAATTAAAAAGTAAGTATTGGTAAATGGCAGAAAGGAAGGGAGTAGAGGGGGTGTAAAGGGAAGGGGAAGGAGAGGTACTAAGGTCAGAATTAAATATCTTCCATGCTTATATAATTAGGTCAAATGGATTCTACTGAGCTCAATCCCCAATACCAAAAAAATAAATAAATTAAAATTAAAATTAAAAAAACTAGAGGATAATTAAAATAAGTAAATACTGACTGGATATTTGATGGGATTAATAAACTATCATTTTTTTAGAAAGGCGTGATGATTGCATTCTGTTTTTAAAAGGAGAGTCCTCGACTTCTACAGACACATACTAATACATTTACAAGTGGTATATGTATTAGTATTTAAAATGCCATGGGAGGAAAAAAACTGGTGAGGAAAGGATGTTCAATATATAATTTTCTATCTTTAAATATGCTTGATATTTCCCACTAAAGATAAAAAAAAGAATAAGTATGCACTTACATCAATACACATAAATACCACAGCATGACATTTAAAATTGGGTTTAATAAACCAAATAATTACAAGCAAGATGAAGACCATAAGGGTTTGAACATTTTATTGTTTAATATAATTAAAAGTAAATAACAATTTTAAGTGTCAAAACCAAAATTTAGACTGCACATTATTAACTAGTGTTATCTAATTAAGAAAATATTTAGGGGCGGGGGATATAGCTCGGTGGTAGTAGAACACTCGCCTAAATCCCAGCACCACACACATACCCCAAAAACAATAATATTCAGGCTCGGGATTGGTAACTTCAGCACATATTATTTGATCCAATAATCCATAATAACCTCAGAAATATTATGCCTTCTTTTTAATTGTTCAGTTCAAAGCATAGTCATATTTAGTCACCAGATGGACTTTTCTTCTTCACCTATTTCATCATGTTAGAGAGTGTAAATTAGCACCTTATAATGACTCATGATAGACTTTTATCATCCACATAGGAAAGCAGTGAAGAGAAGGTTAGGCTAACCATTTGATGGTAAAAGAGACATAAACAAATGCCATTCACAAGTCTCAGTGCGCCAATGGCAATTACCACCTGTTCTGCTTCATCTATTAGTGCTATGCATGAAAAAGGAGCCAAGAGGTCTGAATCTTTACTACAACAATTGTATTCTAAATTTCTTCATTAAAAGCATATACATACATACATACATACTAGAGTAATGCAAAGGACATGCAATTGTATGACTACCCTGGGCTGAGACCAGATGCTTGAGCAGGTTAACAAAGATCTCGCCTCCACCTCTTCTTTCCTTCGAAGGAGGAGGGGTTGTTTGCTTTGTGTAGATATCTTAGGTAGAGAATCAACTGGGTGATGTCTCATTTCTCATTCTCATCAATTCAGAATCTGTGATAACTCCTGGGCTTACCTTGGCTGTATGTTTCATTAATATTGTAAAGAAAAGAATCGAGCTGGGCATGAAATTGTGAAAGATAGTTTGATTTGAACTACATGTACATTTTTTAAAAAACGTCCTCAAATTTGTATCCAGATTAAAAATATAAAATAAAAACCTGAGAGAGAGAAAATACTCCAATTCAAAGGTTAACCAATAATGGGCCTGGATGACAGGACTACAGCTCCATCTTCTTTCTTCCCTTTCTGTTTTTTCTGGGTTTTATTTTTCTTGAGTATCATGCATTTCTTTTTAAATGAAACACTTAAAATGTGCTATTATTGCTATTCCTATAGGAGAAAATTTTAAAGATTTATTAATATAACAACACAGGTTATTAAGATATCCTTTATTTAAAATTTAGATACATTTTATCCACTAAACCAACTCTAGGAGATATATACAATCTTTGCCCAAGATATTTCAAAGTATTTCTCCATAAAAATATAACTCAGACTGGCATGCTCTCGGTATAAATTATTGATGTTATTGCAAATAGAGGCTATACATTTTCAACCAGCTTGTCACAGAAACACTAAGCATAATCAGTTCTATCTCATTAAAACTACAGGATTTTACTGGGGGAAAAATGGTTTTCTTACTGCAAGGTACTGTTTCAATGACCATTTGTCATAATAGTAACAATAAATACACATAAAAATTCTACCTCAAAGAGAAAAACAATAAAAGAGAAAGAAAAACAAGAAACTTGAACAGATGAACTTAGAAATAATACATTTTCCTTAAATGTTTTGTTAAAAAATTAAAAAGTGAGCCAGGTGCAGTGGTGCACACCTGTAATCGCAGCAACTCAGGAGGCTGAGGCAGAAGGATCACAAGTTCAATGCCAGTCTCAGAAACTCAGTGATACCCTCAGTAACTTAGCAAAACTCTGTCTCAAAATAAAATAAAATAAAAAGTGTTGGGAATGTAGCTCAGTGGTAAAGTGCCCTGGAGTTCAATTCCCTAGTAACACAAAAAAGTAAAAATTTTAAAATTTTAAGAATAAAAAAAGGTAAAAGAGAACCAAATACACTTCTAAAACTATCATGACAGTGTAGAAGCCACCAAATATGGGCCATATTTACCTGAAGTCATAAACATGGCCTTCTCACAGAGGGAATCCATACATGTGACATCAGAGATCCAACACTAGCTCTTAAGAGTAAGCAGGTGCACCCACTCTCACTTTCAAATAATTATCCCAGGTATTATAGGGCTGTGAATAATGTAATCTCTTGGTTTGGGCCCCATTTTCACATTAGTCCTGACACCTCAGTTATGTCTGACAGGGATAAGAGAGAAAGGAGGAGGAAAATGCTGAGTGTAGGAGAATATATGGTACACAGGGTGCCAGTGTGATATTTGTAGTTGACAGGAAAAGCTGTAGGGATCCCGTTGGCATAGAGATCTCTTTAAATTGCGTATCTGGATGAAGCCAGAGAATTGAGCTTCCATTTGTTCTATAGAGAGGATGAATTCATGAAACTGGAAGAACTTAGTGTGTAATTCTACAAGCTGTTTCCCTAAATTGTTAAATTTTTAAAAATTGGTCATAAATCTTAAAATGGCCACATTTTCAGTAGCCCTTCAACATTCCTCACCATAAAATCTTTCCCCAGTAGCACTAGGCCCCTGCCAGCAATAATTATGCTAGATTTTCCTCTTAAACAAACATTTCTATGACTTATCAAGGAAAATAACTAAAAAGCAATATACCTTTGAGGATATAGAGAAGTATAAAATCAAAGGCAAACTTTTAAATGAATATTCTGAACTTCTTTCTAGAGGCCACCCTGATTGAACCACCAAGTCCACCTGACATAACCATCAAATTCTAGAAAAGATATGTAGTTATCTATAAACATTCTTATTACAGTTATAAATCATGGTATGTTTTGAAGACCAACAAAAATATAAGAATATCAGGGAGTAACCAATCAAAAGTACTCATGTCTCTAAATTGTACCTCATTCAACACTCAAAGACTCATAAAATATCACCATATCAGATATAGTTAGAGTAGATCTTAAGTAAGAGATGTTAACTGGTCATATGATAAATATGACACAGGCTGCAAGTCAAGGGATTGTTACAGGTAGCCATGGGAAGATGACCTACAAGAAGGGTGTAGGTAACCTCTGGGAAGTAGGGTCACCAGAAAGCGGCACATCAAGATACTTGTTATTTGGAAAAGGAGGTAAGAAAAAAATGTCTACATTACTGTTATTACATGAAATGGTCACACAAAGATATTTGATAGAAAAGATCAGCAGACAATATACTTAAAGGAAAATATGGGACCAAGGTGGGGCAAAATCTTGGCCATTTCTATTAAAAGCTCTAGTTTATACCCTGCTCTGGTAGTACATGCCACTATTAGAAAACTATTGTATCAGGGTTTTTCACATGGTTCACTGTGACCTTAAACTGCAACATCAAACATTATTGGGCATGTGGGGCACTGCTTAAGGGGAACTAGCACTAAATGGATGTAGCACTGCAATCAGAAGCTATAACTGCAAATCACCTACCTTTATATGCTTTTAGATTATAGTTCTCATAAAAATTGCAAGTATTTTATTATAACAAATTTGTCTAAAGAAAGATACATTGTATACAATAAGGTAAAATCACTTACCAGTTTTAAATACCAAGGGCTTTTAAATGTTTCAAAAGTACCACTGTATGTTGAAAATACAATTTAAGCTGAAAATGCATTTACTATACCTAACCTACTGAACATCCTAGCTTAGCAACAAAGTGCATTGTAGAATATCATTTGTTTGTTTACCTTTGTGATCACATGGCTGGCTGGGAGCTGTGGCTCACTGACTGCCACTGCCCAGCCTTTCCAGAATCCTAAGAGAATATATTACGGGGCTGGGGATGTGGCTCAAGCGGTAGCGCGCTCGCCTGGCATGCGTGCGGCCCGGGTTCGATCCTCAGCACCACGTACAAACAAAGATGTTGTGTCAGCCGAGAACTAAAAAATAAATATTAAAAAATTCTCTCTCTCTCTCTCCCCCACTCTCTCTTTAAAAAAAAAAAAAAAAAAAAAAGAATATATTACATACAACCAGCCTGAAAAAATTCAAAGTATGGTATCACTTTTGCACTACTGTAAAGCCGAAAAATGGCCAGGGGCCATCTATACTGATTTTCAGATCTTCAAAAGTGAACATGAGGATAACTTGTGGATTATTTTTATTTTGTCCTGATTCATCATTTAATGGCTGCATAGGACTCGGTCCCTCATTTCCACTGCTAATAGACCACTGTTCTGCTCATAGGCATAAATATGCAGGAGTTCCTCTGCTAGAAATCCATTCACCAGCTGATGTCTTTGAAGCAGTGGCGTCCCCTTGAACTTAGCAGATACCACCAGGGATTGTGATGCGACCACTCAGAGCCATGTCCTCCACCTCCTCGTGCTGACTCCAGGTCCTACTGCAATTCTCCTGAAGGTAGTCTGCACTGAGTTCCATGGCACAGCAGCAGCCCAGCAGGGACAGAATTCCACCTGGGACCCACCCTCATTGCTTTCCCTAATTGTTTTTATTGTGTAATTGAACACAAACACATAAAAAGTGCAGGGCTGGGATTGTGGCTCAGCATTAGAGCGCTTGCGGGCCCTAGGTTCGATCCTCAGCACCACATAAAAATAAATGAATGGAATAAAGGTATTGTGTCCAATTACAACAACAACACAAAAAGATTCACCTGCAAATTTAAACATCTATATACATTTGGCCATAACAAAAATTTGGTGTTATGTTAAAAATCAGAGACTTAGGGTTTGCAAAATAAAGGTTATGACATTTTAAAAGTACCACATTATATAAAATTTTGGTTTTCTAAATTAAATTATCAGAACCTCCACTTGGTTTTCCATATCTAACCTTATTTCCGCCTTTATACCTACAAACTCTACCTCCACACCACTGGTAGCTCTAAGTCTAAGGTACAAGCTCAGTCATCCCTTGTGATCTTGGTAATGCTGCCCTGAGTCAGCCCACCTTCATCCCTGTTTTTATCAAAGAGCAAAGGTCTATCAGAGGAGGACCCTGCTGATATACTACCATCTCTTTTAATCACTGGATCCCAACAGGATGGAAGATTTGTCTCCTTTAGATCCCTCTCTAGTTGTCTATCATGACAGCAATGCTCGCAGACCACTCCCAAGGCTAGTCTCCACAGCCTCTTCTGACAGTGCACTTGGTCCTACATTTATTTCTTCTTGACTCTAGATTTCAAATAAGCAACTATAAAAGCCCATGAGGTGATGACACCTCATTAACCTAGGATTCTGAGGTCTTTATTTCATGGGTGTTTAATAATCTGTCTAGATAAGAAGGAAAAAACACTATAATATTAATAGAACCGAATATTACTGTTTCATAGGAACAAAGCTGCCCTTTGATTATGGGGCTGAATGCAATGTAAATATTATATTTGATATTAAGTTACTCAAGAATACACACCTTTCTTTAAAGATGGTACTACATAAATGCCCCTCTCAGTCTCATTAATATTCTAAATACAGTAATATGCTCATTTACCCCTAATCTAACCTAATTTTTTTTTAAAAAAAACTGAGCATGTCTTGAGGGGAGAATAGCAATATGATTGATTTCCTTTGAAACAAGTTTTCTCCCTGAGTTTATATGTGAAAAGGCAATGAATATCAATTCTTCATAAATGTGACAGGCTTAAGAGATGACAATGCAATGTGACAAGATAGAAAAACTTTAATAAACATAAGATATTCAGCCCCAACTAAAATAATAACAACAATAATAACAGATTCAAAACCACAGTTGTATACACTTCAAGTGAAGTGTTATACATTCCATTCTTAGCTCCTAGAACCAGGTAAACATGAATCATAGGTAGAAATATGCCATGTCTAGCACTAGAAGCAGCATCACAGTTCATTAGCAGAATAAAGCAGAAAATTGTTAGGTTTTACAACACAAAGTGTGCACTGGTGATGAACTGCAATAAAGTAGCATCAGTGATGTTTATAATATGTTTTTACTGAGCCCACTTGTAAACATTCACATTTATTTACTACTGTCCCCAAAACCTACCCAACCACACAAACAAACATCATCTTTTGTGAAATAAAATCATGAACACTTTTGCATTCCACAGCTCTTTTGTCTTGATGGTTTTCAATGAGCTGTGTTAAGTTGCTTCACTCACTTCTCCATCATGAGTGACTCCAGTTCTGGAATCTCATTCATCCTCAGAACCTCTTCATAGAGCAAATAGCTATGCAGGCTTCTGGGAAGTGGCAGCTGCTGGATAAAACTGTCAGAGAGGAGGTGCTCTGGCTTTAGGCTGGACCGAATTTTCAAACGACAAAGATGTGTTAGGGATGGAACAGCAGCTGGAGAGACAGACAAAGTAAGATGAACAACAACAACAACAAATTTCTATTTATTCATTCATTCATTCATTCATTCAATATGCTAGGCAAGCATTCTGCCACCAGGATACATCCCCAGCCCTTTTTGATACAGGGTTTCACTACATTGCCCAGGCTAGCTTTGACCTTGCAATCCTTCTTGCCTCAGCCTCCAGAGTCACTGGGATTACTGGGTTTACATCATGCCTGGCTGAAAAAAAAATTTTTTGAACAAAAAGATGTATCTGTATATTAAGACAAATGCCTTCCCCCTCTGCCCTTTGGGCAGACTATGAAAGACAACTGCTGGGGCCAGGATGATCACATAAGCCTTATTCATTTCTTTCCACTACAGCCTTCATCTGGCTCCTCTCTCTCCAGTTGTTGATCACACATTCAAAGTTGGCATCCCAAGACATTAAAATCTAAATTTTCAAATTCTAAATATCTGACAATATTAGTTGACACTTAAGAAATGGATGAACTAACTTTAGAAAAGATAGAAGTTCAAAGCAACAATGCCACTTCCCTCTTAATCTGCTTCATTGTAAATGGTCTCTAGATCTATTCACTAGATGTGTGGCTTGCAAAATTTCTTCTTTTTGTATATGACATAAAATGTGACAATAGTGGCACAGAGAAAAGTGAAACATTCATTGAGTGCCTTGTATGTCACATGCCATACACTTCACATATACTCTTTTTATATTTATGAGGCCTATGAAGGGTGTATATATGTGTGTATTTTGATTTATTTATGTACTCTTTTGGTGCTAGGGATTGAACACTGGACCTCATGTGTGCTGAAAACACATTATCACTAAGCTACACCCCAGATCCTGAGTTATATATTACCATATTAAAGATTTTTTAAAAAACTAAGTTTAAGAAGAAATTTAAAAGTAACTCTCTGTGTTAGCTTTTCATCACTGTGACCAAAATACCCAACAAGAACAACTCAGAGGAGAAAAAGTTTATTTTGGCTTATGGTTTCAGAGTTTCAGTCCATGGTTGGCCAACTCCACTGCTCTGGGCTCAGAATGAAGGACAACATAATGGCAGAAGAGCAACAGTAGAGGAAAGCTGCTTATCTTATGGTGGTCAGAAAGCAAAAAGAGAGGAGAAGATACCAGGGATAAAATTTAAATCCCAAAAGCTGGCCACTAGTTACCCACCTCTTCCAGCCACACCCCACCTGCCCACAGTTACTACCCAGTTATTAGTTCATTCAAATTATTAATCCCTCAAATTAATCAATGATTAGGTTACATTTCTCATAGTCTTTTCAGCTTTGACCATCCCTGCATTAACATGGCAGTTTTGGGGACACCTCATATCCAACTCACTACACTTTCCAAAGGTCACAGAGCTAATAAGAGGCAAAGCCAGATTTTAAACTCAGATCCATCTGACTCCAAAGCCTCTATGTATGAGTGGGTGTTTGCTAAAGCCACAGTAGACAAAAGCTAATTAATGGAAAATTGACTAACAGTTTTCACTTGAAATATGAGAAAACAAATAAGGGAGCACTAGAGGAATAAGCAGAGCCATGTCAAGAGGGCATGCCCAAACTGCAGACACCCGTTTCCCAGAGGTACAAGAAGGCTGACTGTGTTCAACTATCAAGCATACTTTTACTCAGTAAGATCAGGAACAATAATTGTTAAAGGAAAGTCATCTTAAAGGAGGAAACAAACCATATATACTTTAAACACTCTAATTTGAAAATGTATACATAAACCACATCCATGATGCTCATCTGCAGCCTGCAGCTTTACTTCTTTAAGTTACAGCATTGATTTAAAGATATGTATGAGACAAGGTGAATACACACTCCTTCTATATTTTTACAATATTTTTTCATGTCTTTTAGTTGTCTCACCCACATCTAATTCAACATCCATTTCTGTTCACTGATTATGTTTAAGCCAAGTACTGTGGTCAGCACCTATACCATCAGCTACTCAGGAGGCTGAGGCAAAAGAATTGCTTTAACTGAAGAGTTCAAGGCCAGCCTGGGTAACACAGCAAGACCCCATCTCAAAACACAAATACATAATAATGATGATGATGATAATAATAGTAACCACATTTCACTTTGCCCTAATAGAAATAATAATTCTCTTTTCATACTCATAATTCAATGGTTTATTCAATTTGTAATAAAATTACTTGAATAAAATAATATGAACAAATGTAATAAAAATTTCAGAAATAAGCAAAACACTAATTCTTGGTAAGCACACAAGTCAGTTGGTAGGGACAAAAGTATGTTGGCATTCTAGGGTTATAGCCTACCAACTGCAAATACTGAGCATGCCATGGGCACAGTCAGATGGACTTGAGAGAGGAAATGCCAACAGTGGCTAATCTACTTTGTGGGTTAAAGTGAGGATGGTTAAGAGAACATCAGCTTAGATTCAATTAGGATCTTCATTCTGTACATTGTTATTAATGTGGACATTTCTTGCACACACAGAAGGAAGATAAAGGATGGGAGCTGCTCACTCAGGGATAGGGGATCCTTAATGCTACCCCAGTTTCTCTGGTTTGACAGACTACACTGTCAGTCAGTTTTTCTGTCTGCCCCAAGGCCTCCTGCAGTGCCACCAAGCCTTTCCAGGTTATCAGACTACACCACTGGAGCACCATCGTCACAACTTAATAAATCGTATGGTTATTCTAAGGTGTGTGGAAGCTTAGCCATTTGTGAGCAAACCAAATTGGACCAGTATACATCTGTTAGTGGAAGCTTAAGTAATTTGCCCACATAATACCATATATCAACAAGACAGCTATTGTTAACTAGATCCAAATGTTCTAATTCCAAGTCTAAAAGCCCAGAATTATTCTCTACATCTTCTAAATCACCAAAATTACAAAAAAAAAAAAAAAAAGAAAGTATAGTTACTTCAGATTTTAAATGCACCATGCTGACAGCACAACAGATCACTGGCCTAATGAAAAAAAATACAGGTAAGAACTGTATTCAGTTGAACTGAGAGAGACTTTCATCTGTTTATTATCAACACAGGCAAAACTATGCCATTAACTGCCATTTGGGCTTAATGTGACAGTGAACAACAAGGGAATTTTATAACCATTTATGCAAATTACAAAGCACACAAAGTTCCTACAAAAGTTTCAGTGATGCATTTCTAGACATGTTGCCACGAGGCTAAAAGAAGATGAAGCCATGCCTTGAGTTTACCATATAAACTGTGGAAGCTGTAGGAAATTTCCTTGAAACATACATTCAAGGAAATCTGTTAAAAATATATTTTAATCTGTTACATAAATTTCTATAGTTCTTAGATTGTGGTACTGATCATATCTTAGAAAATGATGTCTGAAAACTAGGCTACACTTTTAACTCTATTTTTTCTGACCCAATCATTTTCTATTTAGTATGTTAAACCCAGTTTATCTATAGATCTAGCAGGCAAACAACCTTTAACTTTTTATTTCTATACAGAATATTTCAATTATGTTCGTTTTGTTATATGCATTGGCAATAATCAAAATGAGCTACATGTTATATGAAATTTTATTAAAAGCAAAAGCAGAAGAAGCTGGAGCTGGAGTTCAGTGATACAGCACTTGCTTTCAGCATGTGTAAGAATCTGGGTTCAATCCTCAGCATCATAAAAAAAAATAAAATCAAAACTGGACAAAACAATTAAAACAAACTCCACAACCCTTAATTAACTGTACTTATTAATGCCAACAGTTACTATAGCACAGAACTACATCAAATACATCCACTATATTCTCCACAATCATTCATCACTAGACTGCCCTCACACAATTGTCAAAATCTACCTGGACTGTTATTTCTTTGGCTCTTTTGTATTGCTTTCCACATCAAAGGGATTCATTTGACTTCTGGGTCTTCTGTTAACATGTATATTTTCATTATTAATATATTGTGTTTGAAGTTGGTTTCCACTCCTTTGTTCTCTATTTTCTTTATTCATAGTATCTCTCCCCTTCCCCACCACTGATAACAACTAAAACCTCTAGAGGAAATATAAAAAAGTGACTACCTAAGAATTCTGAAAAACAAATAATAGATCAGCACAGGCAGTCAATGTAAAGAGTAACTAGTATAGTGGCAATAAATGGAAATGGCACTATCCAACAATAAAACCTGTGCTGGAGTTGAGGACCCACTATTAACTAGTTGTGTGACCCTGGGAAAGTCATTTAAACATTCTGACCTTCAGTTCCCCCCCATCCCTTTTTTATTATTTTTTTGAGACAAGGTCTTGCTAAATTGCTCAGGCTGGTCTTAAACGCACAATCCTCAGCCTCCTTAGTAGCTAGAATTACAAATGTATCCCAGAACACCCTGTAGCATTTTATTAATTACAAAATACCATATAAATTCTAGGCATGATCAAGTCTAATGATCTCCAAATGTGTTGACTGCACACCAATCAGTAAAAGGTGTTTGAGAGCAAATCAAGGGTTGAATGTTTTTTTCATATGTGGAAGCTAGAAAAATCAGGGAAAGATGGTGGTTGGAGAGGAGATCAGATATCATAAAAATATAGGGAAGATTAGTGGAGTAGAAGAAGAAAAATAAGAAAGAGGGAGGAAGGAAGGAAAAGGAGATTATAGAATGAATTTTATAAAATCATGTTATATTCATACATAAGGTTACCAAAGGGAATTTTACCTTTATGCATATGTAGAAAGGACCAATCAAAAATAAATAAAGGAGCCAGGCGCAGTGGCACACACCTGTAACCTCAGATCAAGAAGCTAAAGAAGGAGTATCGAGAGTTCAAAGCCAGCCTCAGTAAAAGTGAGGTGCTAAGCAACTCAGTGAGACCGTGTCTCAAAATAAAAAATTAAAAAATGGCTGGGGTTGTGACTCTGTGGTTAAGTGCCCCTGGGTTCAATTCCTGGTGCACCCCCCCAAAAAAATAGTTGGGAAAAAAGTATTTGAGAACCCAATGTGTGAATATTTATTTATA